AAAATAATCAATTTTAATTTAGTTTTGATATCAATCGATTTCAATCAAAGCGATACTAATCGATTTTAATTGGCAGCTTTATTGTCAATCGATTCTAGCCAGTATCGCTGGTAATCGGCAGGGGTGCTGCTTATCGATTATTATTTATTTCTGTCAATTGATTGCCAACAAGTTTAAAATTATGTACATAGGTATAAAACACCATAGGTGCGTTTTAGTAAAAGTGTAGATCAAATATAAAACAAGCATCTCTATAAATAATATATATATACTCTATTTAAAGCTTTTAATAAAAATCTAATGAAGCATAGTAAAATTTATTTTTGCAAAAGTCTACCTTATTTATGCAATAAGCAAAAAACGATTTATTGCTATAGCTTTAATGCTAAACAAGTTCAATAAATTCCAGGAATATTTTTTTTAAAAAAATTTAATACATAAAGAAAGTGTTAAAAAATATTTATACTAAAAATCTTGTAAGGCCATACAAATTTAATAAATCGGTTTTCACAATCCGGCCGGGTCAAAATTTACATCTGAAAAATTTTTTGACGGATGGACAATATTAATATTTATATTTTACATATTCTTACACATTACAGCGCATTTACGGAATTAAGCAAACAAGTGTCACCAATCCAAGCATTTGGTCCCCAAATTAAATTTTTAGTTACTAAACTATATATTATTCAATCAAAGTTAAACCTGAAAAAAAATTTTGTATCCCTAATATGTACCGATAACGCGTCTAACCACTCTCCGATACATCTCATTAGACATAGGAATTTATTAAAATGATGCATCATAACTTGGAGAACGTTGACTATTTCAGTCAAAATCTATCTATATTAACATATTAGTATCGTATTTTCCGAAATAATGGGAGTGTGCGTTATTTGTCCGTAAAAATAGCACGCATGGTTTCAAATAACACATATGCGCGTCCCTAAATGACATGCACCCACATTACATAATATATAATAGACAGGTTTTGGAAAATTAATCTCCCTATGCGCGTACTCTAAATAACACGCATGTACTCCAAATATCGCGCAGGCAGGTGTTCTCTCGCGAAATTGCATACAATTTCTTCAAATTGTTCCAAATTATTATCAATATTGTCCATGTTATAAAACTCGACATTAGATGTGATTTCTTTAAAATATGTTTCATTAAAATTAATTGCATAAACTTGAACAATCAGTTCGAAAACATTTTTATTTTTATTTTTAATTTGAATAAACTATTCTTCTTAAGAAATATGGCATCGAAATAGTGTTGTTAGCAACTAAATCATCGACCGATTATCGGCTAATATCACACTTATAAACAATGGAATATGTAAAAATATGCTGCATATTTTTACGCAATTCAGTTTATAAATGTGATATTAGTCAATGACTATGCCAGCTAATTACACTACACCTAAATTTCAACGGTAATAATTTGTAAAATATGTAAGGGTTAAATTTTAGCTATTGATTACATAATTATTCTATTGTCCATCCCTATAAGTTACCGAGTCGGAATCAATAAGTTGCTGACGTCAGCCGGCATCAAAAACGCACCTGGAAAATGTGTACCGGGTTGGGTTCGGATGATGGTCCGGCAAATGTTTTCAAATTTTTACTTTTCAATTATAGCGATAATATAAAGTAATATTTAATGCAATTTACACACATATCTAATGCATAGAATAATACAAATAAACTTGAATTTCAACATTATATTGGTTTTTTTTTTTTAACCATTTGGTTGTTTTCTGTGATGCTCTTTGATAAATTATGTACTCTTTGCAATTAAGCATTCATTTCAAATTGATCGATATTTTCTTTCTGAATATTTGTAGACTGTATGAAATTTGATAAAATAGATAAGACGCTAACTTGTCTATCGATAGAGATTCGGATTTTCGATGTCTACAATAAGTTGGCTATCATTGTTAACATTACTGATGATAAGTTTAAAACTTTTCAATATATATAATATGCATATTAGATCTTCGTTGCTACATAGTTATTAAATAAATTCTTAATTGTTATTAATTAAAATTTAAAATACCAACCTAATTTAATATCGCTTTTAGACGACCGAAAGTTACTTATTTTTACATTGATTATTATAGTTTCAGCTTGTGAGTCATAAGCGACGAAAGTATTTGGCGAAGTGACATAGGTAGATTTGGTTATTATAGCTTCAACTTGTGACTCATAAGCAACGTAAGTATTTGGCGAAATGGCATATGTAGATTTGATATATTCTATTATTTTGTTTAACTAAGTCCTAATTTGATGGTTTCTTGCTTGTAATTAACCAATATAAAATACATGTTATAACAAATTTTGCATCGCTTTTTTTTGCAAAAAAAAAAACCAAACGAAAAACATTATCGATTATAATTTAAATAAGTTTAAATAATGTTAAACTAATGACAGCAATTTTGTTTTTATTAGCTAAATGACGTACGTACGTAATACGACTGTTCATACCGTTCCGACCTAGCCTTCCGGATGATTATTCGACCCCAACCCGGTACACATTTTCCAGGTGCATCAAAAACTTGTAGATTCGGTCCTTAACAATTTTTCAAATGTTCTCAAAAATAATGAAAATGTAAGTATATTTACTATACGAGGACCCCAAACCATCAATAGATGGTTAGGTTTGTTTATTTTTGACTATTTTTGGAAATCTTTCTATTTTTAATAACATATTAAGATTTTTTAAATTTTTAGCTATTTGTCTGGGGTCTACGTACTATACGGATGAGTTTTTTAAAAATTCTATAAAAAATTTTGTTTTCATAATTCCTGGGACACCTGATAAAAATTAGTCATTAGCCGAATAATTTTTCGGCCGATCCGGTTAAGTTATTAATTTCAGTATAATAATTCAATAAAAATTACAGCTGTTTTCATAAATTCTGGAACAACTGATGACCGAATCGATAAGTTTCTAAGTTTTGTCGAAGTCGGTTACTTATTGATTCGACTCGGTAACTTATCGATTCGGTCACCGGCAATTTTTCGGTTGTTCCAAAATTTATGAAAACAGCTGTAATATAATATACGTAACTTAAAATCAGGTAATTAATATACAGTAAGATTATGCATATCTCTTGTTGAATTCAAAAATATGATGGCCTATCAATTCGAAAAATTGCAAAACTTAGCAGGTTTTCTATAAGTCGGGTTCTTGTGCATTTTCAAAGATATTGTTGTATTGAAAAACTTCCATCGCCTTCAAGAAAACCACGTTCTCTAAACATGAACGATATAAAATATCAAAAGTTTATGAAAAAAACCTGGCTGATACTTGTATGAATTACCAACTTGGATATACATACAAAAAGGTAATATTTCATATATTTATACACATTTTTATTTTATATTCTATAGATTTCAAAACTCGCAAAAGAAATCTATTTTTGTTCGAGAAAGAAGATTCACCATAGAAGGTGCATCGTGTATTAATAGTCTTTTATTATATTGTATTAAAGAAGGTTCTATGAATTCTATTGATTATGAAAATTTTATTGAACATGTTTTAGAAAGAATTTTATTACATAAATATGATATTGATAAAATTGGATCAACTAAAAATTGGACCTAATTCAAAAATATATTGTTTAATACCAATCATACCGAAATCAATAACTTAATCGGTTAATTTTTATCAGGTTTCTCAGGAATTATGAACATAAAATCTAATTACAAAACATGTACTGTAAAGAAGAAAAAAACAAGTACACTGAACACATTGTGCACATTGATTTTATACACTGCTGGAGCGAATCTTGCGAAATAGGTATAATCATATAAACAATCTTTTTTTAAAAAGTCATCAGATATAATATGGAAAAATAGACATGCGAAAATTGCAAAGATACTTTTTCATAAGTTTATTAACAAATAAATTCAAATTTGTAAATAAAAACCGATTTATATATAGATTTTCTTGAACTTTAATTTTTAGCCGACTTTGAAGATTATAAAAAATTGGCTTTTTAAATTAGTCTTTTAAGCGAAGTTGTAGGATTATTATTAACAATTATTTCGAGTTTTTTTAAGAGATTTAGATAAAACTATATAATGTGAATAAAATTTGATTGACCGATTCTATACAAATCATTCGAACCGTGCAAAAAAAACTCTATCTAATCGTTATTTAAATAAAATCGACCAACTAGAATTTCACTTAGTTAATCTAAATAATTGCATTAAATAATGATGAAATGAAGATCAACTCATTGAAAGTTCGCCGTTGATGAAGAAATCATTTAACAAACAAAATAATACAGTAATAATAATGATTAGGCAAAACGATAGCATTAAGAATTTCAAATTTTACTTTTTATTTGCATAGCTTTTGTTGACTCATTAGTAGCTCCATTAGAAATTCCTTTTTTTAATTAAAAAAAAAAAAATTTATTTAGCAATACCTATTTTAAAGCAAGTTCGATAAATTTAGTAAGCAATTAGAATAAAAGAGTTCGATATATTTAACCCCTTACCAATAACACCGCACGCGACACGGCCACCGGAATTGCCAGTCTTAAAAGAAAGTTCATGTCCGCCTTTACCAAGATCGTCAGAATCATAGTGAACGACGATCGTGCGACTAACATGTAAAATATGTTAAAAATTTTGCTCCTCTTGCAATATATATATTAATTTGGTATTTACCCAATAACAGAATTTGGTCCTGTCAAAGTAATATGGTTGTCCTTAATCTGAGTTTTCGCAATACCATCCTTAGAGGCCGTGAGATTACCCAAATCTCCTAGATGACGATTTTCGTCAGTCGGAGCACCGTGTGTTTTATTAAATGGATTATAATGTTCACCAGCGGAGGTACATCCATTACTATTGTCTCCATATTCACTAATTGTTTTTTCATTCAAGAAATCGTATCAGATTTAATTCAAATTTTTAATATATAATAATTTATACATACTGAACATGGAATCCATGATCTCCTGGTGTCAAGTCACTAATATTCACATCGATTATGGTAGGAGCATTTTCATTTTCTTGAGTGAACGTAACAACACCGCTAGTTTTGGTTTCCGGTTTGTCACCGTGCATTACAGCAATTGCTTTTAAGGTCATGATTGATATAAAAATAAGCAGTTAAAAAATTTATGTAACAAAAGAAAGTCGTCTTTTTTGTTATTTTCGATAGCCTATTTATATTTTATTTAGTCAAAATGATAACATGTGAATGTTTAGTGTTGTCATTCTTTCGTCGCTTTATCTTGAGAAATTTTTCTAGTGATTTAATCGTTATATAATACAATAACAATTGATCCTTTAAATTTTTCTGAGATATAATGCAGTAACGGTAATGATGAAATTATTACTCAACCATGGGAATTAATTTTATTTTACTGATAGTTTAAATTACCGTATTGTGAAAATAAAATACCCGGCACTACTGTATAACCAGATATAAACTGCATGATTAAATATGAGCTGACATTGTTAAGTAATAGTATTCCAGTACCCAAGCTTGGAATAATACTTTCCATATGGTGATGAGAATGCTGTGATCATTAAAAATCAAGCGATACTATATAATGGACTTACATCTAGGCTTTTACTAAACACACCTATGGTGTTTTACACCTATGTGTACATTATTACAAAAACTATTCTAAGTAAAAATGTTCTACGTCCCTAAAACCCTTCCTAACTCTAAATATTAACCCGAATATAAAAAGGGGTAAAATTTTTATATACAAACAGAAAATATAAAAATATATAATAAAAAAATATAATAGGTGTAAAACGCCATAGGTGCGTTTTATAATAATTCTATACGGACTAATTTTTTATATTCTAAACAATTATACATTTGCTATCAAAACACCTACCATATTTTTCATAAACGATTTCATAAGCATTTCATAAGAGATTTGTAAACAAATAAGATTAGCCAATAAAATACAATTGCACAACTTATAGTTTTTGTTTTAATCCATAAACGATTAGATTACCTCTTTTAAGATATCATTTAATTTTTAGTACGTACAGTAAATGTGCGTATACAAGACCCCGGGTCTCGGTCTGGTACATTCCGCCAATTTTTAAACCCTTTAATAGACCGGGGTCTGTACAGACATTGGTCTGATAATCGGGGGAGAAGGAAATAAATATTTATGATATATATAATGTTCTAATATCATACCTGGGTCTTTTAATTATTGTTTCTACATTTCACCAAAATCTTTATCTACTGGGTCTGATTCATGGTGGGTCTACTATTTCAGGGGACATTTACGATAATCAACAAATTAATTCGTCCATATGCTTTCGATCATAACTATGGTTACCGTCCAAACTATGTGATACTTAGTATCACATAGTTTTAATCATCAAGAAATAAATAATGCTGGTGTCACGAAAAATTTCTGCTTAGTTTTTCTTCGTATGACATTATCCTTTTTTCGGTAAGATCAAAGGTGTATCATGGTTAGAACCACAGATCTTGGGTTGGGCCCACAGATCTTGGTTGAGACCGCAGATCTTGGTTTGAGACCATAGATCTTGGTTGATACCACAGATCTTGGTTTGATACCACAGATCTTGGTCAGAGACCACAGATCTAGGTTTGAGGCCACAGATCTAGGTTTAAGGCCACAGATTTTGGTTTCAAACTATGCCAGAATAAAATGGATAAATGCAACATCTAAACTAATAAGGAGAAAAGAACAACCTGGCGAATTGCATAATAAACGAAGTAAATAACGTATTTTAACCTTACCTACCAACTAAAATACAATCCTTAATAACCCACTATCATTAAATCCGAATTCTTTATAAACATCCATCCCACATAACCTATGATTGTAATCCTGAGTTAATTTGACCTCACGTTAGCCAAGTCTCTCCCCTGGTTACAACACTGGTGAAAATTAGTTTCGCCAATTTCACAAATTCAAGAATGGTGAAAACTATCTCACCACTAATTTTCATTTCACCAGCATCTTTAGTTAAAATAAACAGGCCTGTAAAGCATGGAACCTGTTGCAGCAGAAAATAAGTGGCCTACTATGCAATCCTGCAAATTTTAGTAACTCGATTGGTTAGAGATCATATGATAGACATAAAAGATAAGTTCAAATATCTTAGAAATGAAACTGTGTACTTTTTATATATATACTTGTTTACAACTAAAAAATCATGTTAAATATATTATTAGGGTATTTAATTACATATTTGATTAAATTAGATAAATTTAAAAAATTCACAGGTCCAAAGTATGTATATAGGGTACCCGATAGCTAACTATTGGCGCGATCTATATTTGCAATATATCAAAAGCATATCAGTAAAAAATATATTTCGGGTATCCCCGATAGTTATTTTTTTTACCCGATGTTTCTGATATATAGATCAGATTTTTGGCGCCAATAGTTAGCTATCGGGTACCCTATATGCAGTGATGCGCATTGAACAAAATTGGACATTTGGATACCTTGGATTGGACGTCCAATCATGATTTTTGGACTTTGGACGTCCAAGATCCAATGATTTGGATTGGACATGATAACGCTGCCTATATGTATACTTTGGACCTGTGATTACGAGTTTTGTTGTATTTCACAATTTAAGAATATTAGAAATCTATGTTTTACACTTACGTGTTTCAAAGACAAAAGAAATTGTTGCAAAAAATAAAATACGACATATATACTATTATAAAAATAAACTTATTGATTTTTTATTTATGACAACTTTCATCATTTGTAATTAGAAATAAAAATTTGTACGAGTGAAAGCAAACATAAATATTTCATATGGAAAAATATTATTAATTTATTGACCGGTTTCATGTAGTTTTAATTATGTTAGCTATAACAAAATACGATATTACAGTATTGACTATTTCGAGATCAAATAGGCTATTATTTAACTACGCAATATGTTCATCAACAATATATGTTTTTAAATGTTCAACTCTTTATAATTTATCTAGTAAAGTTTATTTATTTATTTATTTTACATGTTTAGAATTTACTAATATCTCTACCAAAACACCATGTCAATACCCTATTTATTTAAATTGAATGAAAATTAGAGCTTAAATACAGTATGATAACTCAAAAATTATAAAAATTTTACTAACCAATACATTGGACTGGTCCAATCCAAATTTTATTAATTTATTTACAAATAACATTTAACGAGATCTTTAATATTTACACTTACATTAATATCTTATTTCTTAAGGACATTGTCATGGTAAAATATGATGATCGCCAAAATATCCATGCAAGGGTCCCCCGTTCCTTTGCTTTGACGTTTGTTGATGTAAAGTCAACCATAGCTTGAGAAAACAATAAGAGTTAATATTGGTACAGTTGACACTGTTATTATTTTAAAGAAAAAAACTTTAAGGGAATTGCCAAATATCAGCTAATATCATAAAGAGTAAGGGCGTATACAAATCTCAGGTCTAAGTAGATACGTATAACGTATTCGTGCATATTAAAATTACTATTAAAAATGTCATAATCTTTTATAATGAATAATTTTTGATCCACTGGTCTGTTTTGGATTATTTTATCATAAAATGACCATCTCAATGAGATAATTCTAACGAATCTAAAATCGTCAAATCTAATCACAGTATCCCGAGATCGCTAAAGATTTATGTCACTTCAGATAACAGACGATCACTTTCATCCAAACAGAAATTATTCATGTCAAAGATAGTTTACATTTCTAATAGTAATTCTGATATACGCAGATATGACCAATCAGAGTAGACTAATATTTCAGGAAAGAAATCTTTATAGTAAATTGATCTCAGCTAATATTTGGATAATTAGTTGAACAAGTAAGATTAATGCCCTACAGTACCTTTCTGCTCTCCAATATAAACCATACTTCCAAGATTTGTGAATTTAAATGGCTTCACACCTCCGAATGAGCCACCATCTTTTGCGATTCGGCTTAAAGCTGATGTTCAAATAAAATTATTAATTAATAATTAAATTTAAGGAGTTCTATTAAACGTTAACACAATGTCAATTTGATGAAAAATTTTGTCCTGCCTTTTCGTAAATGGTTTGCCTTTTGATTTGCCACTTGAGCTGTGGCAGGAAGATCGTAATCTTGTATCGTTGCGCAATCGCCAATGGCATACCTTGATAATAATTAACAAATATTTATTATATATTTTAAACAATCCTACAATTGAATGTAAATAAGAACACCTACACGTTATTTATGGGCATGCCATCATCTTTGCTTAGAACGCGGAAATAATGATCTGTCAATAACCTGCAATAGAGATTTACAATATATTTTAGAAATAATTGAATCAAACAATAAAAAAGTCAACTTGATGACGTACCTTTTCGCTGATTGATCTTTCATTATGTGTTCACCCATAGCTCGTGTCAGCGGATTGTCCGTTAAACCTACAAAATTAACAGATGGTTACCTCCCGATATACACATATAAAATAATATCAATTATTAAATTTACATACCTGTTGCCCATACTAACATCCCATATGGTACTTCTCCATTGTCTTTTATAACTAAGTGACGTGCTTTCACTGCTTCTACTTGCGTACCCGTACGTATTTGGATACCTTTACGGGTAAATTTATTGATAGCATAATCTCTAAGGCTCTGGTCAAATGACCCAAGAATTTGAGGAGCGACATCGTATACAGTCATAGTGACCAAATTGATCAAATTCGGGTATAGACGAGACATATCTTGTGTAATGAAGTCATGACTGAATATAATACACAATTGATATAGTCGATGACAAAAGTATAAAATCAATATTAATTATTATTAAATGTGACATTCTGTAATCATGGACTTTAACTCACAGTTCAGCACTAAATTCAACACCCTATATTATGTAATCGGAAAATAAAAGAGTTAATGATATTGAACTACAAACTCTGCTAATCATTCAAATAAATATACATACAGTAGGGCCTCCACCAACAACCGCAAAATGTAATATACCGGGTATTTCTTCCTTAGTTACATTCGGTTGGCTTGCATGCTCGAAGCATTCAATTACCCTTTGACGTATTTTGCGGGCGTCAGAGATGTCCTTTAGAAATAATGCGTAATCAC